AGAGAGAAACTTTCGTCCCTGGAGCAGGGGAGCAAAGTTCGTCCGTCGCCTGCATCTCATTATGGCGGCCCCGAATCGAGCAAATCCAGCTCAATAAGGCTTAACGAGGACGCTAAGCCTCTTGTACGGGACGAGAAGAGCAGCAGATAAAAGCGTAACACGAGCTTTCCGCGAACTATGTTTATTTCCGAAGCCAGATTCCCCCCGCAGGTACAGAAACTTGCGTTTCGAAAGCAGTTACTCAGTCTTCTCGTCGACAGCACTGCGATGTTAAACGGAGACAACCTATACCCAGTTACTTCGCGCACTTTGCGTCTTACCTTTGGTGTTCCTCGAGTCACAATTCCTTCGTCAACCGCACATCACGGAGAAGGGCGAACTCAATCCGCGAAACCAAAAGCCGCTCTCAAAAGAACAAACTCGAAGCCGCTGTTTATCGCGTAGCGTGAAAGAAGGTTAAATCGCTAGCCACCAGATGGCGGGGTCAAGCAGAACAATTGCAAGTAGGTAGGCTAGGTGGCGCTAGGTACCGCCCAATTCCTGTTCTACAAAAAATAATATGCTTCTTCCAGGCCACTACTGCGCTTGGGGATCCTCTACAGTACACACATTACGCTTATTACAAGCATCAAGTGAACATATATTGAGCACATACACGGCACACACAAGTATCAATACAACTGTACACCACACTAACCCGAACACTACACCCGTGGTCTGCGTTTCCGTCTTTTATACTGGTCGTTTTGAACGTACGGAACTTTTCGGTGACTCCCTAAGCAATAAAAAATATTCCCAGCATGTTGATTTTTTCCCAGCGATGTCATACCTCTCAGAGTATTTTGAATGGCTCAGGGGATGAATCTCTTATTAAAAAGTAAACGCTCGATCATGCCGTAATTAATTGAGAGCCAATAAATCAAGCCGCTCCAATGCGGTTCGAAGCCATGAGTTTGTTTCCCCACACGGCACGTCGTAGCCTGTATTTCTATTGGTTTTTCTATTTGTGCTGTTCGCGCAAAGCTGCAATTGCCGTCTTAAATTAATCTCTGTAGAGCGGATATTCACTCAGCTGGAAGTGATGCTTCATGGGCTGAGAAATCGCTTTTCGATCAACTTGAATGCAGTCAAAGCCGCGACTTGCGGCAGGTGTTCAGTGTACGGAGCTACGCCGTGGCGAGCCCGAAAACTTCTATCGCTCATCCGAGCGCGCCACGGAGGGCAGTTTCTCCAGGATCCGTAGTATGTTTAAACAGCAAAATAAAGGGTAGCTTTTTTTTTTTTCGATTTTACCTACTATTGTTGTTTAATGCCGAAATTCCATGCTGCAAATATACGTACTTTCCGTCATGATTTCGTACTGTTCAATCCTTGCCCCAGAGCGCAATCGCTCTCGGGGACGAGACAATTCCGACAGTCACATTGGCCACTGTACGATAGGAGCTTCTACTGTTCAGACCAGCGTTCCAACATGACTATCCGCACGTTGATCGATTGCACGTAATCCCTCAAGTGGCATTAAACGTTTTAATGTAAGGCGGAATGTCAACCTGCGACACCCCGCCCCCTCCGATCACGGCCCGACCAGCGGCATCAATGCCCAACAGTTTACGATCTCATCTTCTTGTTACACCACTGATACGCGAGCACACGGTCACATCGGCGATAATTCGAGTGTTCTGTTCACAACCCACAACACTGCCATCACGATGTTGCAGCTATGTGGCTATGTTGCTGACACGCACAAACACAGAACCACGTTGAACGCCGGTCGCACTCGGCATCGGAAAACAGAACCGAGCTCAGGGAGGAATGCACCCAGGCAGCCGACAGCAAAACCTGCCTGTCTTGAACGCAGTTCCTGCGGTTTCCATAACGTCGAAAACGTCGACACAGTTCCGCGTGGTTTCGCTACTGTGTAGTGCTGTAGTCCTGTAGTTCCGTGCCGCGCGAGTCCCGCAATCCGGAGACGGCCATCCCCCAGTGTACGTAGCGCTGCTGGCACTGCTCCGGAACTTCGCTGTTTCTAGCGTCTTCGTTTGCTCGTTTGATAAAATTAGCGATAAAAACGTCAATGCAACCGAAATGTTCTGCACGTTTAGACTAGAAGACGGAATTACAGACGGCCTTCGCTGCCGGTGAAGCTCAATCAACTCAACAGCTATTTATTAAACAACGTGCGCGACCTGCTCGAAAAACGAAACCGAAAGGAGATGAGTCGGGAGGGCGAAAGCTTTCTCCCGTCTGCCTGGAGAAGGAGAAAAACGTTTCGTTCCTCCCCTTTTCTCGTGTCCGCTTGGGGGCGCGTCGGTAGAAGGGAGGAAGACGCGCCGTTGCTACTTTTTTCCTCCATTTTTTCTTAGAGTGTACGACCGAGCAATGGTGTCCCAATGACCGGGGGACTGTTGCCATCGAAGCCCTTGGCTCTAATTAAGTTTGCGAGTCTAAAACAGAAAATAAAGCGCGAAAGAAGTTGGGGCACAGCAGACACCCAACACCGGCCAAGCCTCTCCATCCGGGACTTTTACACTTTCTACACAATCAGAAAGGAGGAAGCGCCGGTATCCCTTTCCCCTTTTCTCTCTCGCTCTCAAAATGGCGCTACCCACGATAAAACGGTCCATACTCCGTTTCATCTTACGTTTAAGCGCGGCGGATGTTACGAGCCATCGGAGCCAATCGGAGGCCGTGGGAGTGTCACGTGACCTATAGAGAGGGGACACAGCGACGCGCGGAAGGCGTATCACGGGCCACGTCTACAGAACGGGATTGGCTAAGATAACTCGTAGGGCATCCGCTTATATGAAAGGCTGGTGACGTCACTCCACACGTCGCAAGCTGGCGTCGCCGCGGCAGCTTGGGCAACAGTAATCTTCACCGGGAACGTATGCAGTGAGCGCTACGTGCTTCGCATTGTTTTGAGGAGCTCCTTATCATTCATTATATGGTTTGGATGCTTGTTTTGTGCTTATTCTTTATTGAAACGAATGTTGTGCTGTATGTTGTATGCGTGGTGTTTGTACTTTTCGCTTCAATCTTCTAATTTTTTTTTTTTTTGTGTGAGAATGCCGACACGAAAACGCACGCGGGGAAAAGGAATCTGTTTCGCATTGTTCGCAGGCGCCGTTATCATTCATTATGCGGTTTCCACTTCACACGAGAGCTTGGTTTGGCGTCAACACCTTTCGAAGCAGCTGCAAACCTAATCTTTACCGAAACGCGTGGAAGGGTGTTCCTATTGTTCACACGCGCCTTATCATCCGTCATGTGGTTTTGGTGCTTTTTTGTGGTTTTCTTTATTGAAACGGATAATGAGCTGTATGCAGTATGCCTGATTTCAAAGGAGATATGCTGTTTTGCCTTCAATTGTTTGCCGGGAGTTTTTTCGCTTACAACGACGACACGAAAATTTCCTTGGCTGGTAGAGGTATACAGCTTCGCTGTAAAAAGGCATCTGGGAGGTACCTTAACATAAGCCGCTTGCTTATCTTTGTAAAAAAAAAAAAACTTCTATGGTTATAATATAGTGAGTTATTTTACTATATTGTTTATTGAATTTTGTTTTATCGTATTTATATTATAAGCGGTCATTCTTCCAGAGACACTTCGAGTAACTGGAAAAATCATCGCAGTTATGATATCGTGTTGGGAGTTTGAGGCACTCTGCCCAGAAGATGCGCAAAAAAAAAAAATTGGATAATCTTTTTTTTTTTTTGCTTTTTGCTTTGTGGCACTTATTATAAGTAACGTCCCTAGATGAACGCTAGAGCCACTAAATGAGCAACGCTTAGAGTATCGGCAGTCCGTTCCCCGATCAGCTAGTAGGCGTCGCCTTCTTGGTGCTTAGTGCAGGGAAGACGCAACTGTCGATCGTCACAATTCAAAAACGCGATTTCCGCAGCCTTACGTATGGTGTCAGGAAGCTCAGGTGATATTGTTTTGCTCCGTCGCGAACTGTTTTAACATTTCTGGAAGACGGAAAAGCGTTTCGTGCGATTTTAGATAAAGCTTCAGATAACTGCCAATCATCAATTTAAGAACCAAGATGGCTGAAGTGTCGTTACTCTTAACCATAGCTTATTGAGTGGCTCCAATGAACGCTATGCAAGGTAGCCACAAATCCTCCTACCCCGCCCTCCTCCCCTCGCTCCTATCGTCTGCTAGCGCCGCGCGCGGTCCACCATGTTCTTCATAACTCGCCCACCATGGCTGTGTTCTTCCGAGTTACTCCGGCGGTTCCTGTCACGTCACAATCGAGATAGAAAAACGCTGGACACGGATAGGTTTTCGAACGCCAAGGTACCAAACCGTTACTCGAGAGTGAGGTCGACTCAAATCCGCCACCATGTTCTTCCTAACCGGAAACGGAACGTGGGCACGGGCCAATGGGAGAGCGCGTCGGCACACCAATCGCTGTCGCTACTCAGCACAGCGTTAATCGAAGGACTTTAATTTTAAGTAGACCCTATTTTCTAAGCATAAATATTAGCAGAAAACAAACTAATTACATTGCTTCATTCAATTTAGTTCATACAATAAACAAAATGGGAGGGTAAAAGTGGTCACTCTTCGCAGCGAAGTATTCGTATAATATACCGTATACGTCGTATGAAGCGAGTACACCATTTCCAAAATATCAAAATGTTCAATCATGACAATACCTATCAGTTGAAGTTTTAAACATGAACTTGAAACTGCGTGTTCCGAATCACATACTTAGCAAAACTTTGTCCTCTGTCGAGAAAAAAAAAACGCACGCTCACACCACGTTTTACCGGTCGAGGCGCGCGCAGCTGGCCAAGCAGGCTTCGCGCCCGTGGCCTACCGGTAATCGTGCTTGGCTCCCAGACAAAGATCGGAGGTTCGATACCTGGCTGCGGATGCACCTTTTTTCTGATTCTCTAAATGTGGCGTTCTGGCGAATTCGAGAACCCTGTTGCTTATTCGAGGTTAGAATGTCCTACGCGCCGAACCTTTTGGGCACAAGTTCACCCCATTAAACGTTTACTTTGCTTCACTTTTCGTCGCCTCGTCAATTGTCATTCGTGACAATATCGTCAATGATAAACGGATTCCTACTGGATCGCCTCTCTTGGATTCCTCAGCACGCTGTTCAGAAGCCTCTCTCCGCTGGTATGCAGGTTCTGCTTCCTCGGGCACACCACGTGTATTGACCCTTGCATAATGCCCGTAAGTTAACTAGTTCAAGTTGAAACGCGTCTGCTAGATTCGGTAGCCGACGCCCGTTAGCATCTTCCCATCCGTCAAGTTCGTGGAGATGACCATTAGAGTCCCCCATGATTATGACATTCCTGCCTTTCTCCAGTGCCTTAATATCTTTGGTGACACACGCCAAAGTAGCTTCGTTCTCCTCGTCGCGCGCACTCCCCACCGAGGGATAGAAAATACACACAGACACTTAGGTTTGCAGCAACTTTCCCTCCACCCAGATGTGATCTCTGCACTCGGCGAGCGTCCTGAGCCATGTCGTGTCCCGCCATAAAACTTCAACACCACCACCTCTTCGTTGGCCCTCTTGGCGGTTGCACCCAGCCCAGTGCCAACCCGGGTGCACCGGGGGCTCCTCTGGGTCTCCAACGTGCGTTTCGGCCACCCCAAAGATGGCCATTCCTTCAGACTCCAACTGGTTAAAGAGTCCCTCCCACTTTTGCTCCCGTCGTGCTCCTTGCGGGTTGAAAAACCCTACTGTCACTGGTCATGCTACTTTGATGTTTTTTCCGTTTCCTCCTCGCGGCTCCACGTTTCAGTCCGCCTTTGTTGGAGCCGCGTTGCCGCTGTACTAATTCATGGGTCCATGAACCCCGATGCCCAGCTGCTGCCGCACCGTCTCCGCTACCAGGCCGCTGAGCCATAAAGGAGGCATTGCTGGAGGGTTCATGTGCATAGGATGCCGGACAAGCGGCGGCGGGTACACGGGGGTTCGTCCATCCAGGACTGGCGTCAGTTCTGCAGTGGTGTCCTCGCGGTGATATTGAAGAGGTGGGTCTTCTTGGGTCGTCTTGGGAGCGTCTCCCATTGACAGGCCAATTCCGGCCGGATGCCGCATCAGCCCCGGGTGGACCCAACACCGCTCTGGGTACGCCGATGTTCCTTACCTCATCGACGGTTGCCAACCACTGTAGGCATGCCGCTCCAGCAAGGTGGTCCCCTGTTGCGTGGATTGGTTCTCTTTTCTGGAAAGCCTTCGCGCGCGCGCTTCGGGATCTCGGAGGCCATGCTCAAACCCGACGAGAAAAGAAGCGGTAACGCGAGGAACGCGAGCGGACATTCCATCGCTCGGGGGAGGTGTGTTTCGGCGTCTCGCCGCAGCGGGGCGCCCGTCACGTGGCTCTCCTCTCATCCGTTGTCTGCCGCTCTACCTGTTCAATTTCGGCGGCCGCTTTTCGTGCCGGTCTGCCAGGCTTTGTCAGTATAGAGTGGGATATGGCCGCACACAATACCGTCACGAGCCCATAAACGGCCAAAGGTACCGTAATTGGCGAACTGTGGAGGCTACGGCCTCCGCCCCCCAAAAAGAGCTTCGGAGCGAGGCACGTGACACACGTCGCGGGAGCGTTCGTGTCACTGCGCCAAATGCGAGGCCCGAAGGAACCAGCTGTCGTATGCTGGCCAAGAGTCGTCTGCTGCGATGCCAACCAACTTTGGAGGAACGGCCACCGCCGCAACATTGCCGTCCGCTAGAGTAGTGAGCTCTTCGGGAGCAGTTCATGAGAAAACAGGGAGTTTTCGTAGACCGCGATTACCCCTCCGCTAAGACCTCCGCGACGAAGAAGCCGCTACTGCGCCTGCGCGCCAATGCCCTTGACTGTAGAGTTCCCGATATCGTAGAGGGTTGCGGAGTGCGTTGCGGGTCGACGAAAACGATCTACGAAAACTCCCTAACATGCATACGCTCAATTTGCCCGCGAATCTGTGAGGGGTGCTGACGACAGGGTGACATTCTAGGCGGAAGCGGTCGATCACTGTGCTGCGATCGTTCAAACATCATTCAAAAGTTACATTGCTCTCGGAAAAGAGTTTATCCGAAGTATCGCTGAAAAGTAACATGTCTTCCTATTTCTTCCGTGTTATGTAGCGTAGTGTAGATAGAGATGCATTCGCGCGAGTTCAATTGCTGTTAAAAGAGAAAGAAGCCTCAAACTACTTTTTGTTCCAGACGGCGCTGTTGCTGAGGCGGTAACGAGGCCTTCATCGCCTCGACCATGGAGTGTTGTCACGTTTCTTGGTCCGACATCCTTATTGGGTCGCAGAGGCCGCAGCCTCCACAGTTCGCTAAGTTACCGTGAAACAGAGTATAGGTAGCGCCAGCTTTATCGTCAACGCGTTCCAATCCTGCCAGGTGGGAATACCCGAAGTATGGTGTACTACAACTGAGAGGTATGCGAAACTGGCCAAGCGCCGCACGGGCGGCGCCTCCATCAGACACGGCACGCGGTGGCGCTGCTACTGATGGACCCATGACGTCGGACATTCCAACGAAGCTCGGCGCCCCAACTACCAAGTGGCGAAAAACGGTTATTGTGCAGGCGAGCTGATGTGAGTTATACATCATGATTGAAACCTGAGACTTGTTTGAAAAACGGAACACATGTGAGGAAGAAAGAAAAAGGGATCTTGTCTGTCTCTTTTTCTTCCTCCTTCACGAGTGTTCCGTTTTTCAAACCACAGTATCAGGTTTCATTCATCATGCATACCAAGTGGTATTGGGAAACCGTTTTATACGTTTTAAAATTGCTTTTCTTGCGTTCAAGGACGAAAGACTGGTGTTTGTGAGCTGCTGTCAGAAAAGACGCCACGTCTACACAAAAAATAGGCATTAAATTTTAGCTTTAGTGCCCATGTTGAATTAACCTGAGAGGGGTGAGGAAGAAACATCAAAAAGTAGAAGAGACAGAAAATAGACAGGACGGTGTCTCAAACTCAGCTAACTCGTTTATTTAGTCATCCACCTCATATAGTCTCTATCTCAAGGTCATCTCCACCAACTCAAAAGGACGAAGTCTATACAGTATAAGCGCCACAGTCTCCATCAAACAATGTAAGAGAGTGGACAACCTTACAGGTCGACGCGATAAGGCAATTGACATCCATACTCCTTCATACTTGAACAAAAGGATCTCTTCCCCTTCTATTCTAAATACAGTTCCCACTTGTGATCCACCTACTACCACCAAATAAAAGAAAAAAAAAAGAAAAAAAAACTCCGAAACGGCCTTTGGGTTAACACACGTCAAAAACCAAATGTGTGTTGTACAGTTATTTTGAACAATCACAATCAGGAGGTTCCCAGTTCACGCTTCAAAACAACAACAAAACTGACATTTTTAAAGAGCTTTTTGAATTGCTTTCTTACTGTAGCGAAACCTGATTTATACATTTGTCATTTGCCTAGAGATTTTATCCGTAGCAACTCAAGAAGGTAGGGCGAGGGTAAGGCGGGCCGGGGAGGAGGAAGCAGAGGGAACGCTAAAGAGACGAGGAGGTTTCCCCCTCTCTTCTCTAGCGTGCCGTCTGCTTCCTCCTCCCCGACCCGTCTCATCCTCGCCCTAACTTCTCTTCTCTAGCGTTCCGTCTGCTTCCTCCTCCCCGGCCCGTATTACCCTCGCCCTTCGTTCTTAGGTTGCGGAATCCCATCTAAAAAAGTTGAAAGCTCAACCGCTGCACCCAAGAGGAAACCAAAGAATTTTGTAACGTTACCTTACATTCATAAAGTGTCGCACGATCTGAAACGGATAGCATCCAAGTTCGACGTGGACGTTGTTTTCACTGCCCCGTGCATAGGTCTAAAATGTGCGCTATGGTGAGCGGGCCGAAAGTGAAGAAACCTGCTTGCAGCAAGAAACACGTCACAAAGTTTGTGCCTTGCGTCACTGAGGTGGTTTACAGGATCCATTTAACTTGTGGTCGTGTTTAGATGGGCCAGACGAGACGTTGCTTATCTGATAGACTTCGAGAACATGCGACTTCTCTTGGCAACAATTGCGGTTCTCACTTGCCGGGGCACTGTATAACTTGTGGTTGTTCCCCCATGGTGGGCGGTGCGCAGGGGGAGGGACGCAACAAAGGAAAGTTAGAAAGAAAGTTGCTGGAGGGGGCAAATATACATGCTTGCGACCAAGACGTTTACATCAGCGTCGCATCGGTGTATATGCAACCGGAAAAGTACAGTTTCATTAACTCTATCTAGCTTGTAAATATTAACACTGCGCTTTTCCCCTTCCTCGTTCGTATTGTGCGGCGGGGTGATGTAGCTGTTTTGCTAACTTTTTGAACAGACGGTGGGCGGGGCTATATCTACTGATTTGGCGGTACGCCGTGTTTTTGTTGAGACGAGATTATGCCCGTGCACGGCGATAGCAAAGTTGGAAGCATTCAATAACTTTAGTTGCCAGTTAGCGCTTGTCCCGTGTGCTTCTTCGTCTTTTTGTCCCGTCTTTTTTGCGCTATTTTTAATATGATCCGTCGATTGCCAACTTGCCCAGCAGACCAAGCTTTGACTATGCTCTTTTTACATCGTTCCTATCTTTGTGGATGATTTCAGTCTCCGACCGGAGCGCCATGCAGTTGTTACATTCATTCTTATGTTTCGCGATTTCCGAGTTTTGTGCAGTGTTCTTCACATTTCTTTTATGTTCGTTTAATCTGTCATTCATGCAGCGTGACGTCTGTCCTACGTACTTAAACCCACACCCCAATGGTATTTAATACACAACACCCTTCTCGCAACATACCGTTTTTATTTTATTTTTTTTTTGGGGGGGGGGGTGGGTCTTTTTGCAGTTACTCACACCTGCTTGAAATGGTGTCAATTTACTTAACCTAAAATCTGAACTAAAGACCGTGTCCACTCCAAACTGCCTCGCACATGCCTTCAGGGTCTGATAAATCTTATTAAAATATGTGATTACAGCAAAAGCGGTTCCTAGATTTTTGTTCTGTTTCTCTCCTTCCCATGATAAACAATTCTAATTGCCGTTTGATGAAGCTGTCATCCCATCCTACACCAACCATCATTTTCTACTGCCTTCCTACCGATTCAGTGATATGATGGACACACGACCTTTCTAACGCGTTCTTGACCAATGACTTGACAATCCCAGCCTTTACGGTCTTAGAATGACAACTCATTGATGGTAAAACCGGCTTCGAATTTCCTTTCCTGTATTCCC